GGAATTGTCCCACCGTGGAGGAAGAATGTACTAAGAAAATAAATGGAAGAAGCAATACTTTTAAAACCTATGTACCAATCATTAATGGCATATAGGTGGTTAGCTCAGTTATCACAGCAATAACAAGAAAAAAGAAAGTGCTTAGATAAGACTTTGTCTGTAATGACTCTATTTTGTAAATTTTGTAAAAATTTGATTGTTGTAATCATCTTATGAACTCTGCCCCTGAATATTCACAGAACTGTCTGAAACAATCTCAGAATTGTTAGCCATTGCTTTTGAGAAACTGTACAGAACAAGTGGCTACCAGATGACTGTAAAAAAAAAAAGCAAATGAAAAGGTCTCTTTTAAAAAGGGACCTTCAAAAAAGTGTGTTGAAAAAGGATCAGAAAATGAAACTCGTTTTGTTCTACTCTCAATTTCTAGAAAACATAGTGACAGGGAATTCAGCACACTATGTCTAAGTATCTGGAAGGTACCAAAAAGATGCAGTTACTGTCAAGCCAAAATCCTTTGTGTTGATGAAGTAATTCTTCTGCTCTGTTCAGTGGTATTCTAGTGTTCTAGACATTGACAACAAAAAACCATGTAGCCAGATTTGAAAGATTCAATGGGATAATAAGAGATCTCAAAACCATGGTATAAGATTAAAAGACCAAGGTAATATGGTAATGAACAAATCACAGGGAGGAAATATAGAGTGGGATTACAATAGTTTCCAATATGGAAAAAACTGCTGAACGGAGGAAGATAGTAATTTGTTCTTCATGCTTTTGGTGAATAGGATTCACCATAAATTATAAGCTTAAATTGCAGCAAGATTAGCTTTTTTCAAGTATTGGAAACCTCTTCTGAAGTTAGACAAGCTAAACTCGCTGACATAGATTAGTGTGGAATTTCTGCCACTGACAGACCCCATCAATGGTGACTCTGTGGTCTAAAAATAGATTTAGATCGACAAGTGCCAGCAGTGACAAGGTATATCTGGTTTTGCTTGTGGACAGTGGGATATCTAGATGTTCCTATGGGATTCCCTTCAACATAAATTTTTAAAACTATTTTAACTGCAAGGACTGTGTTATATTTGAATGAACTTAACTCCATGCTTTAATGCCTTAAGTGAACACATTCTTCATTTGCAGGAGGTGAGTAAAGCACTTTTGCAGACACAACGTTCAGGGAATAAATTTCTTTCTATTTCCTAGTAATTTTTCAGCATGTTTCTTCTGTTTCGTCATTAACCTATACATACAAACTTTTCTTTCAATATACCTCTTGGTGCTTATTTTACATAATTCCAACACCTTTTCATATAACATACAGATGTGTACACAAAATACATATTTAAATGCATACTGCCTCTTTTTTCATCTCTCCATCCTTTTCCTTGTGCAACATCCATATTGCCTGTAACCTGTAATATACTTGTAACCTACAAGTATATTACCAGCTACACCATCTTCCTTGCTACCTCCCTGTAGGATCCATCAGCTAGTCAGAGGTAAAGCAACGTGAATATTTATGATTCTAAATTATTAAGTCCTAATATTTGAAATTTTTATATTACTAAAAACTAAAAAAAAAAAAGATAATATTTTAAAATCAAGAAGAAAGACATTTTTATTAATAACAGCAGTGCTTCCTGACTGGACGGTGATGAAAAGAGCTATGAGGCAGTTTCTAAACTCTAAGTTTAAAATTATGTACCTGTTACCATTAGTATTATTCTCTTATCACTGTTGCACTAACTGATTCCTTGTCACATCTTAAAGCTGCTACCGTAAGGCACATAAGGATGTAAGAATATAGATATATTTTCTGTGAGAAATGTCTGTACATTTAAAGTAAAGGAAAGAATATTTCTCAAGATACACATGTCTAATCTTTGAAGAGAAATGAAATTATCAGGGAAAAAAAAGAATACTTCTTAGTTTTGTATCTTCAAAATGCCATTTCAATCAAGTATCATTTTTTGTGTGCTTGAATAAATGGAATTACCAACTTGTATAAAGTCCTTGATCAGAATGAGGCTCTTAAACCAATTATGTGGAGATCAGAGTGCTTAAAATTATAAGGAATACATTTAGAATTATTAAAGGTTTCAAATAGCTTGGTTCAGGCAAAATTACATATAATTGATCATTAGTATGTGTTGTCAGTGGAAACTGCAGCCATAGGTGTTGAAGATCACTTTCAGACAAATTGCAGTGAAACTTTTGTAAAACCCAAACCACAGTAGAGCATCCTTTTCTAAGGATTTTTACTGAATGCAAATCCTAGCCACTTCTATTCCTCTTCTAAGGATGGAAAGATGCACCATGAGTTAAAAGTACTAACTAATATTATCTGGATGAAAATGTCAAACAGAGATGAAGTAAAACCAAAATAAATTATCTTGATTGCTAGGTAACTGAAAACACAAATTCAGGATTGGGATTCTGTTAAAAAAGCTTAAATAAGTAATTCTTAAAAAAAACATATTAGCTTTATAGAGAAATTTTTCTTTGCCAAATGGCAATGCAATTTGCAAAAAATTAAGACTGACAAATACAAACTGGATTGTCAGAGAATGATTGTATAAAGGACTGACTTTATAACCCACTCTGAGAATGACTGTTTTTTTGATTCTTATTTAGCCTCTGTACAGTTCCTCTATCCCTTTGCTTTGTATTTTATGATTCTTTTATTACAGAATATAACATCATTCTGGATAGGTAGCATTTTCAGAGATAGGCACATAAATTCTAATCTGGCAATCATCCTCTGTATCTGCCAGACTGGTGACAGGATTTTCACTGATTTTAGTGATACAGGTTTAGAAAAAAAATGGCATGTATTATGTACTGTATGATGCAGATTAGTGGATTTAATTAATCCTTTACTATATGTGTGTAGTTACAGTTTACGACCGAAATCAAAACTTTCTGAAATCAGTCACAATCTCATAATCACATCTCTTTTTGCATGAAGTGTCATTTTTCTGCTTATCGGATCTGAGAATCTCTTGATGGACTTTTCCTTAGTTTCTAGTCTGAAAGTAAATAACTTTTTTTACCACAGAAAACACTTTCAGCTACTACACTAGAAGTGTTCTCTTAACATACTTGGCAACCTCGTGGTGGGTTAGTTTTGGCTAACAGCCATTTGCTCACAGCCCTCTCCCTTGTAAGACAAGTATAGGAAGAACTGGAATGAGAAAGCTCATGGGTTAACATGAAAGCAGGAATACTGTTTACCAATTACTGTTGCTGACAAAACAAACTTGACTGGGAGGTTAATTTCTTGCCAATTAAAATAAAAGTGTAATAGCTAATTTGAGTAGTGGGAAACAAGATGATGCACGTTAAAACACCTTTTCTCCCCCATTTCCCCAGGCTCAACCTCGTTCCACACTCTTCTTCCTGACCAGCACAGGGGGAATTGAGGAAGCATACAGTCAGTATGTAACAGTTTCTGCTCACTGCTCCCTCCTTTTCACACGTTTACTCTGCACAGGCACAGCTTTTCCATGGGCTGCAGTCCTTCATGAAAACCTGCTCTGGTGTGGGCTTGCCACAGTTCCTTTGGGTCTATCCATTTGCCCTGGTACGGGTCTTCCAGGGTCTGCAGTGCTCTTGCCATGGAGAGCACCACCTCCTCTCTCTCTGACCTTGGTGTTCCCTGGTTTTTCTTACCGTTTCTATTCACACCTTCTCTCTTCACACAGCATTTTCTGCCCTTTCTTAGCTATGCTTTCACAGAAGCACCACTAGCGCTGCTGAAAGGCTTAGCTGTGGCCGGCAGTGTCTCCACTGTGGAGCTGGCAGGAATCAGCTGTTCCCAAGCCGGGGGAGCCCCACACCTCTTCCCACCCTTCAGTCCCTGTTCCACTCCCTCTACCGAAACCTTGCAACACCCAGCTAATACAAACCTAAAAAGCAGAGTGTTACTCAAGTCTAGGGAACAAAGCTACCATTACAAAATTAGATGAATTAGGTCAACAGGATAGCAGATGGAACTCAAAATTAAATATGGAGTCAGCTATGCTGAAAAGGTAATTGAACTATTTATGCACCTTGCTCATTCCTAAATTAAATTTAACTAATTCGGGAAAGCAACCAGATGTCAGTGAAGGCTTTGAGTTAACATATAGTTGCTGTTTAAAAGACAGAAGCCAGAAAGAGAGCAGAGTACACGATCCTTACAAAATGGGTAACACGGGCAGGCGGCACCGCATGTGCCTCCAGCAGCGCTCAGAGACGACCTGCGAGCTTGCGTCTCTCCTTGCCCCGAAGGCGCGGGAAGTTCTATCTTAACGTGACTGCGAGTTTTGAAAGATCGTGTCCATCTAAGGATTTGCGCAGACCCAACTCGGGGTACGAGGTGCCAACGCAGCTGCAGAGAAGTGCCGCCGGCCTCCACCCCCACCCGGAGGGGCCGCCGGCACAGCGCGGCTCCCGTGGGGTCAGGAGGGGCGCGGCAAGGCTCGGGCCCTGCCGGGCGGCCCCGCCCGCCGCCCCCGCCTGCCCGGAAGACGCTCCGCTCCGCTCCGGACGGGTGTTGCGCGCGGGGAGACGCCGCCCGTCCGAGGCGGCGTGCGGCTCGCGTATGTCGGGGCGGTGGCGGGCGGGGCTGAGGGGCTCTCGGTTTGCGGCGCGGCGTAGTCAGTGAGCAGGGCGGGTCCGGGCGGCCGCAGACGGCGGCGCGTGTGCGGGGATGGAGCGCGAAGAAGGCGGCGGTGGCCGGCTTTTCCGCGCGGCGAGGAGCGGCGGGGTGCGTGGGCGGCGCAGCAAAGGTGACGGCCGGGCAGCCTCCCCTCCATCCTCACTCCCCTCCCCTGCCCCGCGCCCCAGGGGGCCAGGGGGGCCTGTCGGCGGGCTGTTCCGGTCAGCCCCCGGCTGGGCTACGGCGTCCCAGGGGTAACCCCGCTGCCCGTGTCTCCCTCTCGGGCACCAGATGCTCCTCGGGCGGCAGCCTTGTGTGCGTGTGTGCAGCAGCCTGGTTGCAGGCCCGGCGGCGGCGTGCGGCGGCGGCCGGGGGCAGACCGGACAGCCGGCAATTTTCTGGACGTATAAACAATGGCTCACGACCATCTCCCAGTACGACAAGGAGATCGGGCAGTGGAACAAATTCCGAGACGTAAGTTGAGCCCTTCCACCCTGCCAGCCGGCTGCCGCGCCCGGCCCGCTCCCGCTGGCTCCGTTCGGGGAGGGCATCTCTTGGGCAGCGGGGGCTGGGGTGCAGCCTCAACTTGCCCCGTTCTCCCGGAATCCTAATTCTCATTTTAATTCCCGGCGGCGCCTCGGCAGGGAGGAGGGAGATCCCGGCGGGCAGTTCCCGGTGGCTGCCGCCGCTGCCCGGCGCGGACCGGCGCGGTGTGCCCCGGGCCGTGCGGGGCGCACAGCCCGCACCTCCGGGCCCAGTGGGTCGGGCCGCGGGAACACTTTCCGCCCTGCCGGGTTCGCCAATGGCGGAGCGGGAGTCGGCGTTTTTGTCTCTCTCCTCCGCCGTTTTTCCACCTCCGCTGCGGGAGCGGCGGGGGCTGCGGAGAGGGCTACGGTGGGGGCACTCGGGCCGGGCCGGGGACAGGGGCTCTCCCCGCGCCCGCTCCGCCAGGTGCCAGGCCCGGGCAGAGGTCCCCGTCCCGCTTCCCCGGGCAACTGGAGCGGGCGCCGGGCGCACTGCCGCGTCTCCGTGCTGCGTCAAAGTACGGCAGGGAGGGCGGGGGAGAAGGGACAGCGCTCACAGCCGGGGGTGTGCGGGGAGCGCGGCCCGTGTCCGAGAGGTGCGGGCGTCAGGCGGGGAGAGTGTGCGCGGAGCGTCCGGAGCGCCTTCCTCGGAGCCCCTGAACACCAGCCCCAGCCTGACCCGAATCCCATCAGTTACGAAACCTGCCGCTCTAAGGTGGCTCTGTCCTCCAGCGTGCTTCGGCTGTGCTTCTAGTTCGGTCTCTGTTTGCTGCAAGTTCAGTGAAAGACAGTCAATTTTCACAAGTCCTTCACATTTCTTAAAGTGGAAATGATTTTTTTTTGATCATCCAGTATCCTGCATCCTTTGGTGTCGCTTTTAAAAATTTGAATTCCAACCTTGCAAAATAATTTTCAGTTTTATTTACTGTCTTACCTACTGAATTTCTTTGATATGGAGTAAAACCTTGATATAGTTTGCAGCTTAAAAGGCAACAGGTTTCTCCTTGTGCTGCAGCTTGCTCGTGACTGTGGTTTGCAGTCCAGGAAGTCTCTTATTTTCTGAGACCTGGAGTGACTTGTGATGCATTAATTTTCTAGCTTTATCTCTGTGTTGCATGTTGGATGCAAACTTGGCTATTTATGTTAAGCAACTAGGAAAGAAGAGCTACTGTTAGCATTGTGGGAGAACTAATTTTCCTAATAGTTTTTATTAAACAGCAAATTTTTAGTGTTGTGAACACTCCAATTAGTAGTCAGATATTTTTGGTTCCCTTGAATACCTTAAAAGAACTTATGTTCATGTGAAAAATAGCTGTTTAGTGTGCTGTGAATTGGTATCTGTGATTTTGGAAAAAAACCCCAAACCAACATGCAGGGCTATATAAATGTTTTAGGATTAAAGGCTACTGCTAGAAAGCTCCAAACTAAGTGCATCAGTTATGTTTTATAGTTGGGCAAAGTCATTTATGTAAGGACTACCCTGCAAGGCTGAGGAAGCTAAGTGCTCTCTAATGCCTGTCTCCTGGGTGCCTGCTGACATGTACTGTAATATTGGATATTAGCCAGATAATTTATTCTGTGACAAGTAGGTGTTCTCAAGGGTTTTAAGAGTGACTGCTTTGAGGAAGTACTGCATACTGATTCTTCTGAGGTAATTTACAAATATGCTGGTTTATTTATTTTTGCACTGTTCAAGTTTTATAAGGCTGGTACTTCAGTGATGAATATGCTTTTATTTTTTGTGCAGAATGTTTATGTCCTATTCATTGGTACTTGATCTGGAATATTTATGGATGGTCCTGATACTTCACTGTAATTTGTTGGTTTTGAATTTGTGATTAGCAAATTAGTGATTCAAATGTGGTCTTCTGTTAAGGAACAGGACAACAGCATTTTAAACATATGTAGGGGTAACTGTCTTGCAGAGTAAAATCAAAATAAAGGTATGCAAGGCCTGTGTTTGTAATTTAATTCTCTGATCAGAGTAGGGTATTTTTTGCAGTCTTTAAATACCCTACAGATGTAAGGGTAACATGGAATTCTGGTGTGAAAAGAAGTATTTAAAGGCTTAACTTAAGACTTAACTGACAGGACTGATTAATGTGAAAGATAATGACCCTGACTTCTGGCTCATTGGCTCAGTTTCTTAAGGGTTTTAGATCGCAGTGAGAAAGAACACAGTTATTCAGAATGAGAGCCCTCACAGAACTGAATAAACCAGGATGTGATGTTTTATTTATAAAAACCCAAAACCCAAGCCAAACCTCAACCTAGCTCTCTTAACAATTGTCTAAAATGTCAGTTTTGTCAATGTGTTATTAACTTGAGAATATTAGCTAAGATCTTTTTAGTACTTTTTATAGGCAGAACTGTAACTGACTCTTCAATTCTCTTTAAAGGTCTTGACCATTCTGACACATCTGTTGAAAATAATAAAATAGGTCTGTACCTTAACGTGTAACAGTGGTAATGTTAGAGACTACTTCCTCACATCTTTTTCCTGTGCAAAAATTGAGAGTGATCTCATTTTTGAATATGTGACTTCCCATCTTAAAGATGGAGGGAGGAAAGTGTATTCTTGATATGTCCAATATCAGCTCCCTTCAGATATATGTACAAGTCAAACGTTTGGAGTTGTATATATACAAGCGTATGTTTACTTTTTGCCAAAAGTAGCTGGGGAGGAAGAGTTTTTAACCCAGTCTTAATGCTGCTGTAGTCCTGTTGCTGAGTAGCTGCAGCTATTAACATCTGTCACTAAAATAAGTCTCAGGGTTGATACGTTTATTAGGGTTTTCCAAGCTGCTTGGTTAGGCTGCTTCAGCAGCCAGTGGTGTCACAATGTTGGGAGGTCCTGTCCCACGTGTATGTATTTTATGTTTATTTCAGACTTGGGAACTGGGGCTTTTCAGTAAATGCTGTTAAGGAAATCTTCTTCATTCATATTTTGTTATATATATATATATATATATATAAAAACTGCGGTTTGTCTGAAATACAGGTTATTCTTTTAAAAAATGTGATCGGGTAATGGCATTATGTTTATGCTTTCCTACTTAGAACATCCTGAGTCTTATCTGGGAAACCTTCATTACTTGTAATGCTGTAAATCTGTGGAGCAGAACAAAATATAGGAATTATTCTTTATTCTCTTTCTGACTTGTTTCCAAATAGCGGTGGTATTTTTAATCCTAGAGCAAAACACAATGTCTTTGTCATTTATAATCACTTTTTCTATTTATGTGGTCATTACAGTCAGTCGGACAAAATTGCATACAACTGTCTGTCCTATGCCTATTTGAAAGTCTTTCAGACTTCTCAGAAATTTTAATTTTTTATTTCTTCAAAATTCCATGAAGCAACACTCAATAAACTAACGCATTTTAGTAACTAGTATTTGTAAGCAGTGTCTTGTGCATTTGTGTTCATGAAAAAGGTTGTATTTCATATGGTAAATTTTACTTGCTGCTTTAAGAGTTATTTAGGATTTAACTTGCCTCTTAGTGGTTTGTACTTTTTCTTCTCAAAGAGATAATAATTTAAGTGATTCCTGTATTTGCAAATTTAAAATGATAAATAGACTCCTCATCTCAACTGTGGCATAGTGTTTTTATGAAATAATATGATCGGTTGATCATTGTAATAATTTACATTGTAGCAGTGTTTTAACTATCATCCTACCATGTTAATACACTTGTCAAAGGTAAAGATGGTAGAAGAAAATTTAAGTAACAGATCTTAGACCGATCATCTATGAAGTTTACACTGGTAATACTCCCTTTTAATCTACTTCACTGTGAAGTGTTCTCACATAGACCATGAAATGTATTGCCTTCTACAACATGTGACAAGTTTGGGCAGCTCATGTTGGGTCCTCAGATGAGTCTTTTGTAAATATGTAAAGAATAGGTTTTTTCAACATTAGCAAAAACCTCTGTGTTTAGAAAAGAGATGAATCAAATACTACGTCCAATTCAGTAATATCCAGCATTCATTATTCTTTTATCTGTTTTGGAGGTTTAAGGCTTCTCAAAAATACCGCCCCTCAACTAAGCTCTCCGCCAACTGTACATTATTGTTGTGAGCAGAACATCTCTGCCCCGCTGTGGATCACAACTGCATTTCTGTACAACTTAGAGAGCCAAAGGCAGTTTTAAAAAGGATTCATTACAAGTTCTTTGCACTTCATTGTGTGATTACCTTGTAAATATTTGGAAGGTTTTCATGTTTCTATGTTTTCATTTCCAGAGTGGAAACATGAATGTGTTATAAATTATATATATATATATAAAAATATACAAAAGTTATGTAAATAACTTTGTTTGAAGAGGAGAAGGACTTCAGCAAGAATAGAAGAGGGCAAGAATCCCTCCTCATTTATGGAGAATCCTGAATGTACTTTAGAGGATATTGACAATTTTGTATTGGATAGTGCAGCACTCATCATCTTTCCTCACTCATGTTAACATTTCATTAAGTTAATGAAAATAAGTCTGGTAGGCTTATTTGTCCTGTACATTTTGTGGTTCAGGGTAAGAAAAAAACCCATACCTTTTTCCTTTTTAGTGGCTACAACAGCTCTAGCAGCTCTTTTACTACATACATATGATTATGAAAACAGGAAAAAATAGAATTTCAAGACATGAAAGATTAACTTCTTTATGTTGTCTCAGGCCTAAGTTAAAGCAAAAACTTGTAATAAGTTAGTTACTTCTTCAAATAGGGTATTGAATCTTTTCTGTATACCAGTGTGGTAGTTGAAACTTATTGGCACCTCTAATGTGGTATCAGTCATTTTTGTTCATGACTTATTTTGTGGACAAAATTTTAAGCCTAGGAGATCTGACAGAAAGAATAAGTATTTTGTATCTACACATATAATTACTGCCTTTGAAATGAAACTAATAAGGACTTGACCATTCTGGTTTAAACTGTTAAATATGAGAAAAT